GCTGGAAGCCGCGCGCATCTGAGCCCCGCGAAAGCTTCCAGTGGAAATCCCCTTTCTACCTGCCATTCCTAAACGCAATAAATTAGGCTGCTCCAGGGGTATAACAGCCAGGCTCTGGTTTCAATTAAGCTTAAGTAAGACAAAGAGATGTTTACGAGCTTACACAATTACTTTCTTTTCCTCCTTTTTTTTTTCTTTTCCTCCTTTTTTTTTCTTTTCCTCCTTTTTTTTTCTTTTCCTCCTTTTTTTTTCTTTTCTTTTTTTTTTTTTCTTTTCCTCCTTTTTTTTTCTTTTCCTCCTTTTTTTCTTTTCCTCCTTTTTTCTTTTCCTTTTTTCTTTTCCTCCTTTCTTTTCCTCCTTTTTTCTTTTCCTCCTTTTTTCTTTTCCTTTTTTCTTTTCCTCCTTTTTTCTTTTCCTCCTTTTTTTTCTTTTCCTCCTTTTCCTCTATTTTCTTTTTCTTTTCCTCCTTTTTTCTTTTTCTTTTCCTCCTTTTTTTCTTCTTTTTTCTTTTCCTTTTCCTTCTTTTCTTGCTTTTTGCCCTTTTCTTTCTTTTCCTTCTTTTCCCCCCTTCAGAGAGAAGCCCAGCAAAACCGACCCATTATGGACAAAACACAGCAACAAGTACGTCTGGGCCCAGCAAGGCCAACTATAGCAGCTATCAAGAAATAATCGCCAACTCTCTCCTAAACCTAGGCCAAATAGCGGAGGAAACCCTCGCCATCGAAGGGCAGCTGCCTGAAGCTGAGCTGCAGGTCTCCAAGCCGCCGTCCAATGTTGTGCACCTGGTCCACGAGGATGCGGGAGAGGAGTTAGTGGAGGAGGAGTGCGACAAGGAGATCATCATCCAGACGGAGGACGCGGAGGAGGTCATCGAGGTCACCAGCGAACGCAGCAGCGAGTTGTGTCCGGAGCACCGGGACGATGCAAACTGCGAGGAGTCCTGCAAATTGCAAAAGGCTGAAGCAGAAGAAGAGGATGAGGAGGATGAGGAGGAGGATGAAGATGAGGAGGAGGAAGAAGAGGAGGAAGAGGAGGAGGAAGAGGAAGAAGAAGAGGAGGATGAAGAGGAGGAAGAGATGGCTCCTGAAGTGATCTGTGAAGAAGCTCCTCACACTTCTCAGGACACCCAGAAAAGCCACTGTGAAGGGCAGTTCAGCCCGAAGCCCGAGTACTCGGTCATCGTGGAGGTCCGGTCAGATGACGACAAAGACGACGACGCCCGCTCCCAGAAATCGGCGGTGACCGACGAGTCAGAGATGTATGACATGATGACGAGGGGGAACCTGGGGCTGCTGGAACAAGCCATCGCGCTGAAAGCTGAGCAGGTGAAAATTGTGCGGGAGCCCAGCCGGCTGCCAGGAGAGCACGTAAAGCACTTCCAGGTGGACGAGAAACAGAGCAAACCGCTGGACAGCATCCGAAAGAGCTACTACGGCAAAGGTACGGGGACGAGCCTTTGCATGTCTCCTTTCTTCCCATCTCCAGCTGAATTTGTCTGCTCAGCACCCCATGAAAACTAGGCTGCTGGGGAGTTTCACAGCCTGCAGAGGGAATTTAGCCACAAATCCTCAATGCCCAGCGGGATGGGGACATCCTAGAGGTCAACAGTGAATGCACAAAATGATGGTGTCCTCTACATCCCAGCGGGGGAATTGCCTGGCTAAATTGCCTGTGGCCTTGAAAATCTCAGCCTGAGCAGTAGAGCTGGTTTAAAATCCAAGTGGGTTTTAAAGCAGCGGTAGGAGCGGCCACAGCAACACGAGGGACTTGGCAGGGGCTGCAGAGTCCCCCGGGTGCTGAGCCGGGCTGCCTGCTCGGTCGCTGTGAGCGGCTCCATGCTCCCAGCCGGGTTAGTTACTCAAATTGCTTTGCTGATTTTAATTTTTGAAACTTCCAGTGTTACAATTCCACCGTCAGGAAAAAAAATCCTTCAAACCCAGTTTTCTCCCTGTTTGACTGGAAAAGTGGTGGGAAGCATCTTCAGCAATTTTCCCCTCCTTTCCATCTCTTCCCCTCCAAATCTGCTAACCTGCTTCCCACCGCCCTTTCCCCACAATCCCTAGATCCCTCAAGACCCGAGAAGCGAGAAATCAAATGTCCGACGCCTGGCTGCGATGGGACTGGCCATGTCACGGGACTCTACCCTCACCATCGCAGCCTCTCTGGTTGTCCGCACAAAGACAGGATCCCTCCCGAGAGTGAGTACATGGTGGGATAACAAGGGTTGCTTAAATTAGTCTGAAGCCTTATTTCCTAGGGGGAATTTTCACACCTGATGGGTAGAGCTGTCTCAAGGCCAACTCCAAATAGTCCCAAATGATGTGAATTTTATGACTGAGTCCCTAGCACAAGCCTGATGTTAATCCTTGCAGTATAACAGTGTTTCTGGCAGAGTTTCTGGCATGGGAGGATGCTTTTTCAAGTTGTTTGGGATGCTTCTATCCCCCGAAGTGTTATTGCTCTTCATGGGAAACGCTATGGAGATTACTAGAAAGTCCTACCCGTCTTAAGGATTTTTAGCACCATCCTGTGGAGAATGAGGTCCCTTCTCTGAAAATCAAAAAGGTTCTTTAAAAATGATGTTCACCTCCAGAGGTGTGTTAAGCCGTTCCCATCTTTACATTGAATGTTACACATTTTTCTCTATTTGGGATATCATGTTGGGAAGAAGGGGAAGCTCTTCTTTCCTGCTGTCCAAATGTGCTGAAGGTGTTGCCGTACAGCAGAGGAGAGGAGTCGTTCAGGACATGCAGGATAGCCGAGTCTCCCACACTCTCATCACTGTAAAATTCACACGGTGCTATATCAAGATTCATCTATTCCACAGAAAATATTTATCATCATCATAACAGATTTTTTTATATATATACACATAGAGAGATATTTTATTTCTACTTCTCTACCAGCATCCTGAATAGTTTTCCCTGTGCATATACATAAAAATCAATGTTGTATGTTTATGATAATGGCATAATAGACCAAAAAAAAAAAAAAAAAAGGAGCCCTTCCTTATCAGTAATTTCAAAGGTTGCAGACCCATCATAAACACAGAACTGCAGGAAACAAGGAGAAAGTACAGCTATCTTCACACAAGCTTGAATGCAAGAAAAAATATTAATAAATAACTAACACAAGCTGTGTGCTTTAGAAAAGCTTGCAAATCAAATTATTTTCTTTACTTTTAAGGTCAGCGCTACAGGAAGCAATAATCCTGAAGATTAAAATTTAAAAAAAAAATCAAACAAAGAGTAGTCCTAAGGATAAAAGCAGAGATACATCTTCAATCACTTAAAACTACCTGAAATTGGGAGACCTGGCTCCAAAACAGCGGTGGGCGGGAGGGGCTAGATGGGAGAAACCAGATTGCAATCAGCAAATGAGGAGAAAGCCCAAGCTGCGTGCAGAGATGCTAATCTACTGCTGACCTGAGCACTGCTGCCTTGTAAATCTTCTTTTCCCTACGCAGACAAATTCTAATTACAGCATTTCACGGAAATTTCTAGGAATTTCTACGAAACCAGCGTACAAGACTTGATGATTTTGTCTTTTTTTTTCTTTTTCCTCTGATTTTTATCAAGTTGTTTTTGCTTCCCTTCCCCTCTCCCCTTCCCCTTCTCGCTCTGAAGTCTTGGCGATGCACGAGAACGTGTTGAAATGCCCCACACCAGGCTGCACAGGACAGGGTCACGTCAACAGCAACCGCAACACGCACAGGAGGTACCAGCTTTGACTTCTCCTCCATAACAGCCAGGGCAAGGATGGCAGCAGGGCAGCCATCCCCAAAAGCCTCGGCTTTACTCTTGTACTGAGAGATGGTGCAACTAAGATGGGTGAAGTAGGGATGACCCCTAAGACAAAGAATAATACGAGAAAGCAAGACGGGGCAGTGATTTTTGGCTGGGCAACAGAGCAGAGCAATGCTTCCAGGCTCGCAGGTGGGACTATGGAGGGGTAGATGCAGGTGGGGGTTCATGGAAGGGGTGTTGGGCACGAGGGAGGGAGAGGGTGCTTGGTGAGGCTGACTGGAGGGTGATGTTTGTGTTGGTGGTGTGGCACTTAGCAGGATTTCTAGGAATTTCCACAATATTTAGGCTGAAATTATTGACGAGCTGGTAATTTAGGTCCTCTTGCTGTAGGACCTCAGCCCAGATGTGGTCAGGAGGGGACAGGGTTGCGCTTTGGGACATACTTGAACACTTTTACAAATGGGAAGGCTGCAAGTGGAGGGGATGGTGCTCTTAAAAGCTAGAAACCTTCCAAAATGCCAGACTAGCTTGTGCTACAGGGACACGCTCATGAATTTATGATTTACCATTCATTGCACTTGAGCTCAATGGGCAGAGAGTGACGGCTCTGCGAATGTCGATGCATTTGCAGGCGCAAGCTGAGTTTGTGTCGTTACTCGTTCAGCCGTGGAGGAAGCTGGTGGATGCTTCGTCATAGCTGAAGCCGCTAGAGGAAAATCAGGGAAATCTGCCTGGTTAATTGAGAAGTTTGGTTTGGTGCAGGCAGCAAGCAATCGCAGTGAGATTGAGGTGATCCACTGGTGTTAGTGGGTTATGGAGCAAGCTTTGGGCACAGCAGTTTGGGCTGAGACCCTGCAGGGTCGGAGCCCTGAATTTCATGCGGAGCTGGGCTGGGGTTCCCTCGGTGCTAGTTACTCCAGCGATGAAGGTGCCTGTGATGGCTTGGAGTGTGTGGGCTCTGCTTGTGAGGGTTTTTTACCTTCCCTGAGCAATCGCCGTAAGAGCCAAGCTGGTCCCAAAGAGGCAGAGCCAGGCTCACAAGTAGGGCATGTGCGAGCAAAAGCCATGACAGCCCCCGACCTCCCCCCGGCACCGGCGCGCTGGCAGCCGTGCACATCAGAAGTGCAAATGTTTCCCCGCAAGTGCCCCTCAGAAGGCTCCCTTCAAACGGCTGCTGCAAAAGATCCAAATAAATACAAGTAAAAAATGCCATTTAACTGCTAAAACCACTCAAAGAAACCAGCCCGTCCCCTTCTGCCTCTGCTGGGCTCAGCCTGGGGGAGCTGCCGCCTTCATCCACCTCCGGGCCCTGGGGATGCTCCGGGGCTCATCCTGGAGAGATTGGGCACTTGATGTTTGGCTGCTTTGCTGCTTGCCAAGACTAAAAGTAAACTAGGATAATGATAATAAGAAAAAAACCTTAAATGCACTTTTCCCATGGGCCCAGTGCAGCTCTGGGTCCCTGAAATGAGTGAAGACGTTCATGCTCATCCCTCACACTTCATTTCCTTCTCTTTTTTTTCCTTCTTTAAAAAAAAACAACTCCCACAGTTTATCTGGGTGCCCCATTGCTGCTGCTGAAAAATTAGCCAAATCGCATGAAAAGCAACAAACCCAGTCTGGTGATCCTTCGAAGACCAGCTCCAATTCTGACCGGATACTCAGGTAAACGGGACCGCGAAGCCCAGCGCCGCGTAACCGCGCTGCCCCAGCCCTCCCCGCGATGCCGCGCTCGCAAGAGCAGCCGTCACGGCTCCCTCCGGCTGTATCTTGATACTGCTGAGTCCTCTTATTACGATCATAGGTCTCGCCAAGGTGGGGAGATATTTAATTGATGATCCCAGGGAGGGCATTGAGGACAATGAATTGCTTCTGTAGCATCAATTAATGCTGAGGCTACAGGCCAAAGGGTTTTACCAGTGCAGCAGAAGGCATTTGTGCCGATTGCTCTGCAATGCAAACTGCCAGAGAATGATGGCTATTATATTAGCATTATAAGTAGGGTGGGCTCAGGGAGGGGGAGGAGGAGATTTAGGCTACATATAAATCACTCGATGGCAGTTTCGTGTAAGTCCACCCACTTTTCTTCCTTAGCCCGCACGGTTCAGAGGAGAGAAACCTGCCACTCATTTCCAAACCAGTCACATTTATTTTGTTATTTCGCCCGTCTCTATCTTCCCGGGAGAAAGGGCTGTCTCACATTAAGGATGTCCCTGATAGATGCTGGCTTCCGTAGCTGATGTGATTCATGAGGCTACAGATGGATTGTAATATGGTTAGTTATTTTGCAATGAGAGCAGGATAAAACCGGCAGTCCGAGCCCTGAAGAGCACTCCCACAAAGGCATTGAGGTCTGATTAATTTATTTATTTGCTCCCCAGGACTGCTGAGCACCCTGGTGCACCAGCGCTTGGTGCTTTGGAAAGGCCATTTAGGGCGATTACTTATTTATTTGCAGCGGAGCCCGCGCCGGGCGCAGAGCGCTCTGAGCGCATCACGAGGATGGTCCATGCTCCAAGGAGCTCCCGCTCCGAGGACTCGCTGGTGGAAAGAGGTCACGGGAAGGAGAATAACAATAGGCCATTTATATACAATTTATATGCAAGACAAATTGATTCATGATAGGCAGCCCAGCAGAAGCGGGTCTTTAAGAGGGACTCTGCAGGCAGGGGAGCTTTTGCAATGAATCCGGAGGGCAGAGTGGAGCTAAACTGGGGTCCTTGTGCCTTCGTGTGCCATCCTGTGTCATGGGTCCCATAAATGAGTAATTGCCCAAGTTTCTACCGCTGTTGGAAAAAGCTGCCACACTACAGCAGCCTGCAAGAATATTGTTTTGCATGAGATCGACACTTTTGCCTAAAAAGAGAAAAAGAAAAAACAAAAGGGAAAAAAGGGGAAAAAATAAAAAAGGAATCGAAAAGACTCAAACCAGATGCAGACTTGCTGAGGGAGAGCAAAAGGGCTGTTGCTGCCTCCTCTTCCCCAGTAACCCCTTGGGGACAAGGTGCAGCTACGCATCCCCATCATGTCTGGTCCCCTCCCAACAACCATCTCGTGGAGGAAAAGAGAAATTACTGTTGCTCATTGTTTCATCCTCAGGCCTATGTGCTTTGTGAAGCAACTGGAGATCCCTCAGTACGGAAGCTACCGGCCCAACATGGTCCCAGCAACCCCCCGGGCCAACCTGGCCAAGGAGCTGGAGAAGTACTCCAAGGTCACCTTCGATTATGCAAGTTTTGATGCTCAGGTTTTTGGCAAACGCATGCTTGCCCCAAAGATTCAGACTAGCGAAACCTCACCTAAAGCCTTTAAATGTAAGTTGGGAGCAGGGATGGGCTGGGTTTTGCATTTTCTGCCTTTCTCAGCGTGTTGCGAGGCTCTTGGGATCGTGGCTTTGGGGTGATGGGAGACTCGGGGCTGAGTCGCCGGATCCCTCCTGCTGCTGCGAAGCAGGGGGAGAAGTGGGGATGGGGGAGGCTGAGATGGGTCCTGTGGCATCTACCTGGTGGAGAGAGGAGCCCATGGCTGCCGGTAAAGCTTTGCTTGAGGGAGAGCCACTTTGGGAAGAATTGCATCGAGTGGTGGGAACATTAATCTGAGCGATGTCTCTAGGTGGGATAAGTTACACAGTTGTCCTCAGTCGGTCCCCGCTGCTTTGCAGTTCATATCTATTGATCTGTCTTTCCTCATCTAGCTAAATGGATTATAGTTTTCTTCTCTTCCATCTTATATATGACCCACTCCACCCATTTGTCTTTGCTGCGCTCTGCTCTCCAGCTCTGCTACCTATCGATCACCCACCTCCTATCTCCCAGCTCTTTCCTATCGTAGCCACCCACCTCTGCTCTGTACCGAGGACCTGGCGCTGGTTACAACACTGCGCAACGAAAGTGTGGGTGAAAATGAAATGGCTAAATAAACCCTCAGGGGCTGGGCTGTCAGGAGCAGGAGGGAAGCTGCACGGGGAGCCAGCCTGCCGCAGACTGATGTTAAACCTCTTCCTTCCCTTTGACACCAAATGTGCACCTGAAGACATCTTTTTGAGGAAAAAAAAAAAAAAAAAAAAGATTTAGGAGCCCAGTTTGCAGAAGTCAGCAGCCTCAAGAGGGCTTTCTGTCTGGCTAATCCCACTTCCACAATCCTGTTTAATCCTGATGCAGCTGCTCTCTAAAAAGTGCTCGTACTTGAAAGCATCCCGGTTGTTGCACTACAATGGAAGCGCCCTTTATTACAGTACTAAATCTGTAAAGGATCAGACAATGAAATTGGATGGAGGCCAGAGAGCACAACTGCCTCTGTCATCCTGGGTTAGGGCTGATGGAAAAGTAATTTGTTTCCCAGCACAAGTGATTCTCTTGCTGAATAGATTGTGTTATTTGCAATATTAGCGAAGAATTTTCAGGGTAATTGTACTGACAAAAATAATTCCAGCAGACCCACTAGGATAATCCTTTCTATTTTTTCTCGTCACTTATTTTACTAATTTGCTGATTGCGAGTCTATTAGTGGTAGAAATACTTATGAAATGGAAAAGCATCACTGAGCCTACAGTGTGAAATTGAAATTGGCATCTCACGATCCTGGATATCGTCAGGTTGGGCTGGCAAATACCCACACTCCGCTGCAAAGACATGGATTAAACCAGACTCAAAACCAAGAATAACCATTTGGGCAAACCTCCAATGAGTTAATCAAAGCGACAAGATGAATATGATTGCCAATCATAGCAGGGAAATCTGTTCCTTTCACTGAGAACTTATTTTAAAGAGATCTTCATCCAGAGGGATTTATATTCCCCTGCATGTGTGCGCATAACTCCCATTAATGTCAATATGCATTATATACGCACACTACGAGGAAGAAAGCAGTCCTCGGGAAGATTAGCATTTTATAGTGTCTTATATTACAGGTTTGTAATGGGAATAATGAAATCGCTTTGCTCTGTAGCTGCATCAACCAAGGTTGTCTTGCTGCTTCGCCATCGTCAGGCCAAAGCTTACGAGTCTTCCCTGGGTGAGACTCCCACTGAAGGGGGGGATGTTTTCCCCAAAAAGGGCATAGTGAAATTAATTAAGAATTTGAAGATTTTGCTAATTGATTCAGAATACAGTCCTGTGACTGTGGAAAATCAGATGATCCCCTGTTTGCACCCACTGAAACTACTGACTTCAGAGGGACTCTGTGTGGGTCAGGGCCCTCCAAAACGGGTCCGGGTTCAAGATTAGGGCAAGTTTTATTGCGGGTTAACCCCGGGAAATACTCACTTTCGTTTCATAGGGTGTGAAGAGAAATCGCATCTCCAGGATTGCACTGCTGCGTGCTGACACGCAGTAACAGTGCGGTGTCGGGGCTGTGTAATAAATCCTGTTATTCAGGCATATTTAAATGATATGTCAGCTGTCAGAAAATCCATATTTCACTGGTGTCATCATCGGAAGCTCGTATTTCATGGCCATGGTTTTGCTATTAATGTAATTTCTTAAATTGTAAGTTTTCAAACGTGCTACAAGAAATCTCCCCGTAAGTCAGCTCTGCAGATAAGTCCCGAACAACAAAAAAAAGAGCCAGGAAGCTTCTCTAAGCTTTCTTCTTTACCTGCTTCCACCGAGGAGTAGCTTTAATGAAGAAAAGCACTCGTGTTTTGGGGACTTGATGGCAGAGTCAGTTAATGAATTCAGTTTTCACACCGAGAGACCATTGCACAAGCCGCAGCCAGCGCTGCTCCTATTGCACATCCCAGGCAACCAAATAGCCTGTGGATTGGTAATAACCACAGGTTGCCACTGGAACTGCTAGTACATTAGCTGTGTCAGACTGACTTAACCTCTCACCGCTGCCCGTGCCAGTTATACATTAGCCTTGTGTTGTTCCTTCTCTTTTTATTCCAGCCAAACCTTTTCCAAAGGCCTCTTCCCCCAGCCACAGCCCCTCCAGCAGTTACGTGAAGAGCACTTCATCTTCCTCCACAGGCTTCGACTACTCCCACGACGCCGAGGCTGCGCACATGGCTGCCACTGCCATCCTCAACCTCTCCACCCGCTGCTGGGAAATGCCGGAGAATCTCAGCACGAAGCAACAAGAGGCCCCCGGCAAGGTGAGCCGAGTGTGCCCGGGGACCACCGCACCACCACGCGGCTGCGTGGGTTAAAAGTTGAAGTTTGGGATGGGCGAAATACCTTTTTTTTTTACCCTTCCTTTCATTTTAATCTTTAAATATAGAGGGAATGCAGAGATTCATCACATATCGCCCTTTCACTCCCTGCTTTGGGTGATGCAGTTTGGAGGAGGTAATCTTGGCTCTTAGCGTGTTATGGAGATGCATCATGGTTCAAATTACCCATCTGAGACGAGCATTGTTCCCGAGCAGAGTCTCAGAGGTGGTTTCAGTTGCTCACTGGTCTGTATCTGATGCCATTTGAGATTCCCCAGTTGCGTCCAGGCTGACCTCCAGCTATTTTCCGGAGGAACCCAGCCCTTCCAGAAGTCCCATGTTGCATCCCCAGCCTTGGGCAAATGTCTTGGATGCCATGGGGCATCTTAAATGGCACTAGATGCCTGTGTTGAAGCAACCGAGTCAAAATGCCACGTTGCTGGTAGTAGAGGAATGCATTTGCATGGCATGTTTCTGAAAATATTTATGAAAGAGCATCCCTTCCATACAGTTCCTTCTAACTGACTGTGGAGAGGACGGGACATGAATAACCTGCCCCCCACACTGCAAAAGACACATGGGGGCAAGATCCCCACAGGGAATTGCTGGCAGCTGCTAACGTTGGGCATGTTTCCAACCTTTCAGTCCATGGACATCGAGGTGGATGAAAATGGGACTCTGGACTTGAGTATGAACAAGCACCGCAAACGGGAGAGCACCTTTCCCAGCAGCAGCAGCTGCAGCAGTAGTCCCAGCATGAAGTCCCCAGATGTGTCCCAGCGCCAAAACAGCACCAGTGCCACGAGCAGCACCATGACCTCCCCCCAGTCCAGCCAGACCTCCCGCCAGGATGAATGGGATGGGCCCATTGACTACACTAAACCAAACCGTCAGCGGGAAGAGGAGCCAGAAGAGGTGAGCGGTGACTCTTGATGCTTAAATAACACCTCATGGGGGACTGAATGCCCTGTTTGCTTGCGCAGTTGTCCTATTTTCCCCTGGAGCCCCTAGTTTGCCCTTTGAGCCTAGGAGAGAAGCATTATTAGCTTCGTCAGTGCTACCAGATATCAGCTGCGGACAATCAGGCAGGAGGCAGATGCTCTTGGATCTGTTGGGGTGCTCTTGCCAAGGGAGAACCCACCACTTGCGTTGTCCTGGCTCTGCGGTGCTTTCTTTGTTGTAAATCCTTTCAGCTCATTTGCACCAGTGGTGCTCCTGGTGACGTTCCCCAGGATGATTTATGTCTGCCATTAGCAGATCTGGCCCTGTGTGCCACTTAAGGTGAACCCTTGCAGGTGGGGGAGCCCAGCCATTACCTCCTGGCTGGGGTGAGCGTCCTGGCCCTGGAAGCAGCACGCTGCTGCTCTGCCCGTGGGGAGGCAGGTGCTGCTGAGGATGAGTATGGGGGGATTGTACTGATCTTCATCCCTTCAAGACCTTAGGAGAGCCAGGTATAAATCCCTGTACAGACGTGTTTTACACATTTCTCCTGTAAAAAGGGGAAATTGCAGACTATTTGATCTCTGGTTTGGGTACTTCAAGGCACTTGCAAAGGGCTCAGGAGTGTTGGCAATGCTGCACTAACTGGGATGAACCTGGGATCCTTTCCCACCACAGCTCAGCATCAATGCCACCACTACAACCACTTTTCCTGGCTGTTTTCTTGCAGTCAGAGCCTGCCGCCCACTCTTTTGCTTCCTCGGAAGCTGATGAGCAAGAAGTGTCGGAGGAAAACTTTGAAGAACGAAAATACCCAGGGGAAGTTACTTTAACCAACTTCAAACTTAAATTCCTGTCCAAGGACATCAAGAAAGAGCTGCTCACGTAAGTCCTGCCCTCTTGTCTCTTCCTCCAAAATGTATAAAATATGTACGCGGGACAGCCAGGCTGGTAGGAGACAAAATTTGTTCGCAAATACATTTTAAAAATTAGAAGTGTAGTTCCCTTTCTTACTGTGACTGGTCTTGTCGCATCTAAGCGGTTCAAATGAAAGCTCAGAGAGAAACCCTATCCTCATACAACTGCTGATCAATGAGGCATTCAGCCTTGAAACTCTGCAGTGACGAAGGGATCTTTCCGGGGGGCTCAGTGCTCTCAGGATTCACAGATGTGGACATGGAAACCTCCCTGCAGGGCCCGTTTTCCCTGGTGTCTTCCTGCAGGAGTGTTTCTGGCACCGTGTCGGAGCCTGTCCAATCTCCTGCCCCCTTGTTTTGGGACACTGGGTGATGCTGTGGAGCCACGAGCACCCAAGAGATCTCAGTACCTTCTGAATGGGGGTGTTGAACCGCAAGGTGCCTCGTTGGGAGGGCAGGACTTGTTGGCTGTTTAACATAGAGCAATGAGTCCCATCACCGCGATACTGCAGGGCCACAAAATGGGAACTAGGGCTACAGCAAGATTGCATCTTAGATTGGAGAGAGATCTTAACCAAACTCACATGTGCATGTTCATGGCATTGGGTGGGTGGAAATACAAACCCAGGTCTTTTCTATTAGATGGAGTATTGCTCTGCATCCACACTGAGCCCCCAAACTAATGGTTAATGTTTAGAGCCTGACCCAAATGCTGCAGCTTGGACCTGGCTCTGATCTAACGGCAGGTCGGGATCACTCTGGAGGTTGTGATGGGGAGGTCTCACCTCCCAGGCATCCCAGCAGATCTGCTGTGCTTGGGCCTCTTTCCTGTGCATCTGACCTTCCCATATGTTAAACAGGGAAGAGTCGGCGGCCATCGTTTTGCTGACCTTGTACAACGTCGCTCGTTATTTGGCTATGCAAGCGGGAGGCTGAGGGAGCAGACAGGCAGGAGGAGATCCCTGGGGGCAGAGCAGCAGCAGCATCTTCCTTAAATGAGCAAAGCACAGACCAGCTGCCCTATGCAAGCTCTAAAGGCTTTGTTAAAACCCAGCAGCAATGTGAATAGCAATTTCTGAGGTAGAGCCCTGAAGTCCTCCTGTGCTATAATTGTATTACGAGGGTAGAGAAATTTCCTAAATGGAAACAGCCCTGGCATAAATAAATGGTGTCGTGGGCAGCCCTGAGCCTTCTCTCCCCATTTAGCATCCTTGTTCCTTTCTGGCCCAAGGGCCGTAATGAATTAGCTGTAGTTAACTCAGGAGCAGACTTGCCCTCTGCGTCTGTTTGATGCTCCGTGTCTGGGCGCAGTTCTTGGGCCACCTCCAGGCACTGATGGCAGTCGCTGTGAAGGTGTTCCTCACCTCTGTCTTCTCGCTGCCCTGCTGTCGGCACACGAGTGGGTACCACATAGCAATACATCACTGCTGCTCGAACATCTTCATAGCAGCGCTGGCTCTAGAGCTCACTGTGTTTGTGTGGGTGTGAAAAGGACTCAAGGGTGAGCAGGGAATAGCTGCATCCCCAAGACTCAACCTGCCAGGCCAAACTGTCCCAGGACATCCCTGCAGTGTCCCAGGACATGCCTGTGCTGTCCCAGGACATCCCTGCTCTCCCGCATACCCTCTGGCCTCGGCCAGGCAGGGCACGACTGTGCCAGAGCCTCACTGCTCATGCACAAACTGGATTTTATTCCCTGGACACCGAGAAGGGATGACACCTTTTCCCATTGCCCGCGCAAGTGCAATTCTCTGGGGAGGCAGCGGAGAGGGACGGGTGGGAAACGCAGCCTGGCGAAGGCAGCGGGCGGGATGCGGCAGCTTCTGCCTGTCCTCAATTTAGAAGCCCCCAGGCACATGAGTCAGAGGTTACTTTTATTCCCTTTGTGGAGTGAACAGTGTTTTCAAGCTTTTCTTTGCAGCTATAGGGGTTGGGGGGAAAAAAAAAAAAACATTTCAGAAAGCTGAAACCTGACGCTTTCAGGGAATAAGCGGGTTCCCGCAGCTAGAGCTTCAGTATTGCACAAATCATCCAAATTGGCAGCACCAAGGCAGTGGTGTTCATGTCTGTTCATTCATGCCACCCAGCAGGCTGCTTTAAGTCTTCCACTGCCACCGAGCAAACCAAGCAACTAAGTATTTTGAACACTTTCTTCACATTTGCCACAATTTTTTTCCATTTTTTCAGGATCCTTGTGATCTTTTGGGAGCAAAAAAGGGAGGAAGGGGAGCTGAAAGGGAAACAGCCGGTTTATTTGCATGCAAACATATAAACACATGGCGAGGTCCGATGGAAGGAGCCGGTGTAAGGGGTCTGGCACCGGGGCCGGGCAGAGCCCCCCCGCAGACAGACCCCGAGGAGGGCTCAGCTGGTTTTGCAGATCCGTGGCTCTCGGGTGAATTCCTGCCTTTCCAGCACTTACACTCGTTGTTGTTGTTGCCCAGTTGCCCAACCCCAGGCTGTGACGGCAGCGGACACATAACGGGAAACTATGCCTCTCACCGCAGGTGGGTTGACCTTTTTCTCATGGTTCGGACTCTAAAGACAACTTTTTTTTTTTCTTTTAGTATATTTTTTGACCATGTGGATAGTTTGGTTCTGTTTCCTCCCCACCTTCTGTTGCCCCTCTCCCTCCCCCACC